TGTCATTAAAAATGTGCTGGCTTTACAACAGGACTCAAACAACTGCAAATTAATGTACTTGTACTGTGTATAGAGTCTTGCTTTCACTAGAATCTTTTGGTGATAGATCTTTTCATGTAGCTGTGCCTATACTGTGGAAAGTGCTCCCAGTGAGCCTGTGCAATATTGATTCTATTTTAACTTTTAAATCTTGTCTTAAAACACATCTTTTTTAGTTAGCTTTTAGCCTTAAGTGCTTAAATTACTTTGTTATTGTTAAATTTAGTTTATGTACATATTTAGTATATTTTAATATTGTAATGCACTTTTGATCATTGTATGTTAAAAATGCAATATAAATTAATACATTATTATTTGTAATAGTAATTGGACTGAGTGGAGTACAATTCAGGGAGTAATCACATCTATAACGAAATTCTCGATCGTGATTGGTTCTCTGCATGCCTATTTGCCACGTAATTGGCACGCAATCACATGGGTGTCCAATTACAGGTATCCAATTTGAACTTTTTGTAATTGGACACCTGTGATTGGATACCCACGTGATTTGCACCTCAATTACTTGCGCTTTAATGGCTTTCTTTGCAACGTTTCCTACAGTTTTGAAAAACGCGCTACATACATTTTCACTCAAAAGAAGTTCTCAAAAAACATTTTTAATTCCAAAATTTATTATAGATTCGATTAATTAGTAATTAGACCTTGTGTCGTACAATTTAGGGAGTAATTGTGCTTGCAATTTCAAATCGGCCTCATGCTTTGCGCTTGTCTGATTTTGAAATTACTAGCACGACTACTCCCTGAATTGTACTTCACTTGGTCCAATTACTATGACTAATTGCACGAGTAATTTTCAAATCGGTCGACTGTGAAGTGTGAGGCCGATTTGAAATTATGAGCATGATTACTCCTTGAATTGTACGGTATGAGGTCCAATTACTAATTAATCGTATCTATAACAAATTTTAGAAAGATATGTTTTTTGAGAATTTCTTTTGAGCAAATATGTCTGTAATGCCTTTCACAAGTTTTGAAAACTGTAGGAAACAGTGCAAAGGAAGCCTTTAAAGCGTGCCATAATTGACGTGCAAATCATATGGGTATCCAATTACGAAAAGTTCAAATTGGATTCCTGTTATTGGACACTTATGTGATTGCGTGCGGATTACATGACAAATAGGCACGCAGAGAACCAATCACGATCGAGAATTTTGTTATAGATACGATTATTATTATTATTATTGTCTCCTCACGCCAATAGACATATAAGGCTGTCACCTTGTCAACCCGACACTGTGTTCTGTGCCACCGCTTCAACTATATTCTAACTCATCCACCCTGGCCTGCCTTGTTGCTTTCTTAATCTCAACAGTCCCTCCAGGGGGCAGTTCAGTTCCCCTCTCACCATTCAACCATCTGGTGTCCACCACAGTGCTGTCAGACAGTCGTTCTTCTATTTCTTCCTTTAAGCAGTCAAAAACTTCAAAAGAATTAGCCCTGAGGCCAAAACTTGTAAAACAAGAAGAGGCTGACTGATAGACAACAGCTGTACACAATGTGTAGCCAAACAAGTCTTACTAATTAAAACTTGAGTAACTTTATGCTTTATTTTGGTTTACAGAAATCGGAGGATTAAATTTCAGTAATTCTGTGGTAAGTGGAAGTTTCTTCAGATTGACAAAATAGAACATTAAGAGAAAATCCAGGACTTGATTAATCTATTGGCTAATCCATTAATAATAATGGGAGACTCTACAGGGACGCACGGTGGCCCCATGGCTAGTGCACTTGTCTTCTAGATCAAGTGGCTTGGGTTTGAGCCCTGGCTGAGGACTTTATCTACAGCTTAGTGGTTGGTACATGCATCTCACTGTGTTAACTGTTTTGTGCTCTTGGCAAGAATTGTGAGGTCTGATCTCACCACCCAGGTGTGTAAATGGCTACCAGCAGATTGTTAGTAGCATGACCTCTAAAAATGCTGGATGGAGGAGAGGTGGTGGGGGGAGGGGAGGTAAACTGCTAGCTAGGAACTATCCATGGTCAGTAAAAAATACTTTTGGTCACATCATGTTACAATGATCAG